ACTATAACAGTGTTTTATTTTCTTATTTATTGTTTACGTATTTTGTTTTAAATTCTTTAGGGATGATTTTCACAATTTTCCTTTTCACGATTTCTTGAATAACAAATGATTAAACTATACACTCTGGTTCGTACATCTGTTTTGAATCTGTTGCAATATATACATGTAAGTTAAACAAGATTGACAAGTCCAGAAGAATATAATACTTTAGGGTGACCTCTTCTTAACAAGAAACAACTGATTTCTAAATAGTTGTGTTTGAACTCGACCGAGTTCTTAATTAAATCTATAAAAGCACAATTGGATGTCCAACTTATCGTACTGCTTCAGTTTTAGATTAAACATGCAGAAATCAAATCCATCAAAACGATGGAATGAAGGGCGTACTCTTCAGTGTCCCGTCCACCTGGTTCTATGGACGTTTGTCATTCACAGCACGATTGGTTGTCATGATCATCTGACAACCATGTGAGTTCCAGTGTTCTAACGCATTACCACGTTGATACAATATAGTAACAAAAAGTATAAAATAATATGTCAACAAGCAACAAACGTGTACAAGCTACACACGCTTAAAAAAACATCTTAAAGGCATCAGTAGGTCCACGGAACCCAATGACAGACGCAATAACCGATAGATCTGAACATGAAGGCCGGGTTCAGGGTTCATCACTTGGCTGTATTTGTGTACTCGTACCCAACCTCATCAACAAGCACTGGTTGTCTGGTACAGACGCGTTTAGTTACAGGCAAATGGAAAACAGTTTGAATATTGCTGACTGTAGTACAAAACAACAAGCAAAGAACAATCTTGAAAACATACAACGTATACCACTGCATATAAGATATAAAAAAAACTAGATCAAGATGACTATTTGTAAAATTGAAGGCAAATATATATGTTAAGGATTATGTCACATGGTCGTTACAAAGGTCTACACCATTGTTTGGGTGAGAAGTGTTGTATTGAGACTGGCCAGGCCAGCATGTCCGCATAAAGTTAGACTCTCAACTTCCTACTATTGCTGATGCTTTGAACAAAAAATAAGAATTTCCAAAACCTCCTTTACAGTCTGCTCTACGAGATTACCGTGGCCATAATCTGGGACTTTGGACAGTGCGTGCTTGCTGACCGGTTTGTATAGGTGAGATTCTATTCTTATCAAATTGTCAAAAGATTTATGAAGAAACTCTCTCATGTCACAGAAGAGTCAAAAGAGTTTGTTTCTTACACACAAGGCGTACAATGGGCTCACTACTACTAAATCATACAAACACTTAATGGACAAGGTGGCATAAGGGATTGTATAAATGTAACAATTAACAACAACGCGTTTTACTTACATAGTCCATGTGACAATGTACATCTTTAACAGCGACAAAACCCTTCCAATAAAATTATTCATAATATATATCTCTGATAAAAATGAAGTCGATTGTACAATTCCGACTGTATCATGAACCTGTGTCTGTGGATCACTATCAAATAGTGATCATACGAGGTGTTCATGAAAAGGTGAAAGTATCCTACCCATCGTGTGACACCGGTCACAAGCACATGTTCATGCAAGTCAATTGTACACCAGAAAAACAACATGGAAACATATGGTACAAGTCAAAGAAGGGACGTGCATAGGAAATATTTGTTGTCACGGATGCGTCATATTTGGAAATGTCGTCGACACGTCTACCATAAAACGTTTTGAAGGCTTTACTGAAACCTTAAATCTTTTAACCTTGATCAAAAAACATTTGAACAAGAGTCTTTGAAATATTGGTAGAAAGGGCATGCTCGATTGTATCTCAAAAGGGGTGAAATGTAGACAGCAAAGGCTGGAGCTGCTTTACTATTGCTCGACATAAAGTTCAAGTTGACTACTGGAAAGTCATCCCTCTTGTCATACAGTCATGTAGAGATATTTCTTGTCATAATGACCCTTTATGTATAGATCTCAATATGAAACAGATGAGATGGTCTCGCTGGTCTCCTTTATTGCTAGTTCAGTGGAAGGAAACTGTATGCTACGTCTATTTGTTAAAGTAACAACACCGTATACATCTCTCTTATGTAAACTGACAGGCTATCCTCATTCTACTCGATTCCTTTCTTCGGCTTCTGCACTTGACTGTACACATCCTCTACATCTGTAACAACAACCAAGGGTCCAAACAGACACTACAAACACCACACATGGAATAATAAAGGATATACTACGGCCTGTAAATGATAAAATATAGTCCAAACAAATCAGTAATTGTTATTATGGTCAACATCCTGTGTTACCTAAACCTTAATAGTACATTCAATCAGCCACTTCTTAAGTCACACATAGGTTCCTAGAGACATACTTATTCTAACCCGGGATCACCACATGATACACATAGAAACAATATGTAAGCACAGAGTAAACTGAAGACCACACAGTGTAGCAATCCAATGTGGGTTCCATTTGCACCGTGGCAGGCACATGACACCCGTCACGGTCTGGGGTAGAATAGGTCTTCAACAACGCATGCTTGCCGTAAAAGGCGACTATGCTTGTCGTAAAAGGCGACTAACGGGATCGGGTGGTCAGGCTCGCTGTCTTGGTTGATGCATGTCACGGTAACCCAATAGCGTGGATCGATGCTCATGATGTCAGTCATTGAATTGTCTGGTCCAGACGCGATTATTTTACAGTCTGCCCTCACATAGCTGGAATATTGCTGAGTGCGGCGTTAAACAACAAACAAACAAACACGAATAAGTCCCACAAACATAAACGACAGAGTGAGTGAGTGGGACTTAAAACCGATTTGAACCGTATTTCAGTTGTATCAGTTAAATGTGGGAGGAAAGTGCGGAATAACGTAATCTTAGACCACTTTGGTGACCATCATTAGCATTGGCATGGTGCTGACAAACCTCAAAACATAAGCAGGCTAAACTACGATTCCATTTTTCTGACACTTGTAATTGCGGCGTTTTAAACGACACAGTCTCCCTTGCCCCAACTACTTATCAGAGGACACTTACCCTCGACTGTTGACTTCTTGGGTTTGTCAGGTACGGCATAGATATCCCCACTGTCCACTCCAGGCTGATTGGTGTTCCTGTCCTCTGTGTCAGGTTGATTCTTCAACACACTGGCATCTTCCTTCTCTGTAGACAGGTACAACATGTTTAAAAAGATTATTAAATCATCTAAACTAGATATTAATTTTTGATATTAATCTATGGCCATTGGCTTATAGATTAAATGGACCTCATTAAAACTGGTTGGCAAAGGAAGCAGATGCTGTAACCAAATGTACTGTTATTTACCACCGTAAACAGTCTACACAGACTATATTTTGACTTATCTACCACCGTAAACAGTCTACACGGACTATATTTTGACTTATCTACCACTGTAAACAGTCTACACAGACTATATTTTGACTTATCTACCACTGTAAACAGTCTACACAGACTATATTTTGACTTATCTACCACTGTAAACAGTCTACACAGACTCTATTTTGAATTTTGGCTTATTCTCATGTGCTCTCGTTCATGATACATATTCACGTTCATATACACGCACATGACACATGTTGATAAAGCCCTCTCGTTCGTAATACATATTAATTCTGCACTGAATGTTATCATCGGCTATAATGTGGAAGGTTGAGCTGTAGACAACTATGATGAAAGCCACAAGCTCAAAGTGTCAGTACGCCAGAGTGAGTGGGTCAGGTTTTAACGCCGCTTTTAACATTATTCCAGTTATAACACGGCGTGTCAGCTTAATGTGGGAGGAAGGTCCAAAGTTATGCATGTCTCAGACGTTTACCCCTTCGGTGAAACACACGAGCACGGGTATGGTGCTGACAAACCTAGAAACATAATCGGGGCGAACCAGGATTCGAACCCACAATCATAGGTTTCTAGTGTGGCCAAGGGATGCATCTCTGGACAGCGAATGGCAGCGCCTTAGACGACTGGGCCACCCGTGCCCCCCAGTATGCCAGAAGTAGAAATATTCATTATAGATATATCCGACACAAATATCATTCAACCATTCTCACCAAGAGGTTATCATTCCGATATCTGCATAACATCAATGTGTTCGTACCATGTTTAACACGCTCACTTTGTCAAATGTAAATGAAAACAAAGACCTACCATGAGAAGCAGATGCAGGTTCACGACAGGGTATTTGTGCGTAGTCATCATTGCCTGCGCCGCAGCTGCCGTACATGACATCTCCCTCCATCACTGTAACAATAGGCAATAATAAGACGTATTATAGTATCCTTCTGAATGAGGAGGGACACGTGGACGCGTGTACACCTTCCACTGTCCATTAGTGAAAGAAAGAAAGATAACGAAGTGGGATTGATGTATGAGGTACTTATCATGAACAGATAGATTCCTGCTGTGGACTTTTAAAGGCGCCGTCCTTACTTGCCAAATACACTGGCAATTCGAGTTTGAGATTGACAAACCGAGAACTTTTCTTTTCTTTTCTCAACTGATGCATTTACATGTCACCATGTGTGTTTGTTCGGAAGTGAAGAGACTACGCCTACATGTTAGATTCAAGTAGGTTTTCCTACTTTACAGGAATTATGATCTAATGACCCTACTCACGTATAGAAAATGTCCCAACTTCAAACATATTTACTTAACAAAGATTAAAAATTGCGCTAGGCATTGGAATAATGTCCCCCCCCCCCCCCCCCCCCCCTAATGCACGAGCTAGTAAGTTTGGTTTTACACTGCTTTAAGCAATATTCGAGCAATAGCAGTACCTCCCCCCCCCCCTCCATTACATTATGTTCATCTGTAGTACTCACCAACAGCCCCTTCAACATTTTCTCCTGGGTCTCTGCAGACATACAATCATGATAGAGTGAAATACCATGCCACTTAACTGATGAGTTTGAGTGTTATCAATATCATGAACACGATATGCATGTTTCTTTGCGAAGATGTACGACATGGAATGCTTGGGACGAATCAAAGTTGATATCAGAAACAATGCAGTATGGAATAATATACTGCCCACCTTAAAGTTCAGGATACATGTTTCTGCATTCGATTGTCAGAGTAGCACTTGTGGCGTGTTCAGGTTGTTTGTATATGTACAGTGACAGTGATAAATATAATCTAAGCTAACCAACTACTTATCTAACCACATTTGCTCAGTTATATTCAAAAATAATATTTTTGTTTGTACATACAACTGCCCTCATGATCTTTACAAATGTCTAATGTTTACCTATATTGCCTATTTAACCTTGCTGAATAAACAATAAACAAGAGTAAAGGGACATACGTTGCTTCGGGATATCAAGATGTATGTAGCAATGGTTCACGAAATGTGTATACGGATCAGTGAGAGAAAATGTCACTTCCTTTTAAGTAGCATAAGAACATTCCATTGAAGCTATTTTATCTATTTCCCTTGACACGAGACATATATGTATTACATTATGTTACCTGTTGGAATCTGTTGTTGATGCCGGTTCATCTGTAAAGAAACAGACGAAGGTACTGAGTTGTTAATGTTACCACTTGTCGGTTAAACATCCTATGTGATAAACTGCTAAGTATGCAACAGATGTCCACATATGTTGACTGGGAATATTAATGTATGAAAGATGGTTTCAAGGTACGATCTAAAACCGATTTTTTCAAAAGTTTTAATAACACATTGTAGTATAACGTGAAATACTTCACTAATAACATTTACCATTAGGCTTGTTCACCTCCCTCTGGGATCTGTAAAGAACGCAGCCAGTGATCACGAGAGCCAATAAGACGAACGCACCGCCTGCAGCTCCGCCAATCAGAGGAACCAGTGTGTTTATGGATGCCGATTCCTTATCTGTACCTTCTGTTGTATATTCTGTCGTGCCTTTTGTTGACTTTGATGTTAATGTGACATCTTTCACCGTAGTTGCCGTGGGTGAACTGATTCTTTGTGAAGTAGATTCTAATGTTCCGACAACCAAGATGATCAGACAGTATATATTGTGATTTTACAAACTTGGACATTCATGTAATTATATTTGACCAGTTTTGCATAAACTGTGACAGCGATCCCATGAATAGAATATGGATAATACAGCGTTATTTACATGGTATTATTATAACAAGAATCCACACTTACCGTCATGCCTGTCGACTTTGATTTCAACATATTGACTTTGGAACGTGTTATCTACTAGACAATACCATCTCTCTTCATTCTGTTTATCAATATTGTGTATCATCAATCCATATGATTTGTTGAAACAAGATGCTTTTCCATCAAGTGTCTTTACGGTGCCCGAAGTTATGTGACAGCGGACAAACATACTGTATGCTTCGTGTGTTCCTTTCGTTCTGTACCATAGAACATTGACATTCTTCTCATTCTCAGGGGCATTTTGGCAAACAAGCGTAACATTTGTACCCTCTTGGACATGTTTTGTAGTACCAGTTTGTGGATAAACATTCGAATAGATCCTCCGGCTTGGATTAAGCGTGAAGGCTGAAAGACACAATGATCTTAGTTTCAAGGGTTCACTAATACACACGTGGTGCTCCTACCATAGCTGAAGTACATGTACGTGTATCGAGATGATGCTCAATGCCCCAGAGGGTGTTACATACTACACTTAGACAATAACAAGGTTATCCTTTGTTCTTCTTTGTTTAGTATGACGTAAATAATTGTATTTGAAAAGACCAATGCTTAGATATCATATGCTAAGGTAACAGTTTGCAAATAATAATAATAATAATAATAATAATTGATTTGTAAAGCGCCTAATATCCATCGACAGTTGCTCATTGGCGCTGTGACAAAGTTAAAATGTAATGTCTATGTACATATGCCAACAATCAGGAGATCTATTGAAAAGCTGAAGTGAAGAAGTGGGTTTTGAGGAGAGACTTAAACGTTTCCTTAGAAGCAGAGTTTCTCAGATTCAAAGGCAAAGAGTTCCATAACTGTGGACTGCAAAAGGAGAAGGCACGGTCAGACATAGCAGAAGTAGACAGAGGCTGATACAGTAGAGTTCCACCAGAGGATCGGAGAGCACACTCTGGAGAGTACAGGGATATAAGATCTTTAAGATAGTCTGGAAAGTCGCTATTGTTGAGGCAGTCGTGAGTGATGATACATATCTTATAGTTTATACGAAAGGAGACTGGAAGCCAATGTAGTGCTTTGAGGACAGGACTGATATGATTGGATCTTGGAACTTTAGAGATGCATCTAGCTGCAGAGTTCTGAATGCGTTGTAGCTTTGATATGGTTTTCATGGGAAGATTAGCATAGAATGCATTGCAGTAATCCAGTTTGGATGTCACAAGACATTGCATCAACAATTTAACTGTTGGAGTATCAAGTAAATGGCGGACTTTACTGATGTTATAGATGCTATGGTAGCATGCTCTGCTGGTTAGTGAAATATGTGTGAAGAATATTCAAAAGAAATTGAAAACAAATAATATACAGTATATAGTAATTCAAGAGCGATGTTTTAGGCTGGGTGAACAAGCCTTGAATATGAGCCTGGGTCTGGACGTCTCTCAACTTACATCAATGAAGATTCATTCAAAGAGATAGAAAACCTTATACTGTCAAATATAATATCTACCATTGCTGAACCTGGGGAAGACACAGGTAGAAGACGTGAATCCATGGAAACTATCACTAGTATTCATGAAACATTTACAGATGAATAACATATCTCAGTGATGAGAGCCAAAGGTTTTGTTTTAAATTCTGATCTTAAGAAAAATAGAGCGATGAGGATGTCGTCAGTTTTAAAAATAGATTAGTAGCGGGTGAAGAAACATGGGTCTACCACTGTGATCCCGCGTCAAAACGTCAATCAATTAGTTGACACCATTCCACTTCTCCGGAACCAATGAAATCAAAGTCTTCAAGACAAGTGAAGTAAACAATGGCCACTGTATTCTAGGATGCAAAGGGTGAGAACCTTGTGATTACTTAGAAAGTCAAAAGACAACTTGACAACTATGCTCATTTCGCCTTTAGTTTGGTTATGAATATATATATTTATATGAACGACCACAGCATCGAGTTTTATGTGCAGTATGTTGAGTTGGTCAGCAACCCTGCAGAGTCCTTTGTTTGGATGAGGTCGGCTGGCCTGAACAGTGAAACAGAAGGCTTTTTGTGTGCTGCTCAGGACCAGTCACTTCCCACTCGAATCCGTCTATGTTTGTTTTTGCATTAAAATGTAAATTATTAAAAGAAGGTTATGAAATGAATTTAATGAGACTGCCCAACACATTGTTAGTAGATGCCCAGCTTACACACAAACATAGTATCTTAAGCCACATGATGGTGTAAGTGGATCATTTTATTACCGTCTTGTGGTTTTGTTGCAGAGGTCCATCCATGTCTGCGACCGAGAATATGTAGAGGGCGTCACCATAATACAAAATTCTTTGGAGTAGGCCCGTTTATAGCATCAGACGTATCCAGGCCAACAAACCTGTCTTGTCCTTTTTTAATAAATCCAATTAAAGTTGTCCGACTCCCCATTGTTCTCGGTGTCTTAGGTTTGGTACCTCCGAAACTGTTTACCGGCATTGGGAGAGTACCCGGGTTTGCTACCAGGAATACAACCCTTCTGACAATCTACATAATGCAGAAGGGTGCAGTTTTGTGGAGTCTCCACATTCTCCGAAAAGTTCTAGGTGGGTTCGAGTAGGCAGCGCTTCCAAGGAGAAGTCCCATTCGCTGTTTGTGCTGCGTGTAGAGGGGGTAAATCTCTTCATGAAGCGATAGTACGATTCCGACTATATCATGAGCACGTGTTTAAAATTAAATTTACATTGTGTTCATCGAAATTCCTGCATTCTGATTAGCTGAATTGGTCACGTGTTGGACTACTTTTATTACTCCATTTCTACTCACGTGTATCGTTATGCACAGGACATTAAGCCTCAATAAACCGAAATCAATTCACAGTCAATCCTTAAATGGATTAAAAGGCCAATTATTCCAAAACCACAGGTTTTGTTAAAGGGAGATTCTACCAACATTGCAAAGTTATATGATTGAGAGATTATTATGACAGTTCAATATTTTCCTTTAGATCAGAATTTAAAAACCTCACGTTCCTCACGTTCAGCAATGATAAGACATCTATCTTTTTCTATCTCCTTGATTGAATCTTCATTGAAGGCAGTTGAGGGACGCCCAGACCTAAGGTCAACATCAAAGCTTGTTCTCCCAGTCTTAAACATAGCTGCCAAACGTTTAACAGTGGAATAGCTAGGGCTGTTATTCCCATACAATTGTGATATGCCGTCATACATTTCTTGGAAAGTACTTTTCTTTGAAGTAAAGAAACTTGATGACTGCCCGTATTGTGTCAGTACTTGCCTTTGTTTCCCAAATGTACACAATACATAATTATTATTTGACCATGCTGCCCACTGTAATGCCGTCATACATTTCTTGGAAAGTAGTTTTCTTTGAAGTAAAGAAACTTGATGACTGCCCGTATTGTGTCAGTACTTGCCATTGTTTCCCAAATGTACACAATACATAATTATTATTTGACCATGCTGCCCACTGTAATGCCGTCATACATTTCTTGGAAAGTACTTTTCTTTGAAGTAAAGAAACTTGATGACTGCCCGTATTGTGTCAGTACTTGCCATTGTTTCCCAAATGTACACAATACATAATTATTATTTAACCATGCTGCCCACTGTAATGCCGTCATACATTTCTTGGAAAGTACTTTTCTTTGAAGTAAAGAAACTTGATGACTGCCCGTATTGTGTCAGTACTTGCCATTGTTTCCCAAATGTACACAATACATAATTATTATGTGACCATGCTGCCCACTGTAATGGTGTCAACGTGATGAATTCGTATACTTGTCATTTAGATTGGCACCTGTGGTCCAGATACTGAGAAGCACATGTGACATAAAGGTGAATTACCAAACCTTACCACACTGAAGAGGTTTTGTCAATGGTCCCCGAAACATTAATCTATCTAATTTCCTCTTGCTTCATTATCATCATAATCAAGACATGTGCTGACACCTAAAGTGGATATCTGATATCATCATAATCAAGACATGTGCTGACACCTCAAGTGGATATCTGATATCATCATAATCAAGACATGTGCTGACACCTCAGGTGGATATCTCATATCATCATAATCAAGACATGTGCTGACACCTCAGGTGGATATCTCATATCATCATAATCAAGACATGTGCTGACACCTCAGGTGGATATCTCATATCATCATAATCAAGACATGTGCTGACACCTCAGGTGGATATCCGATATCATCATAATCAAGACATGTGCTGACACCTCAAGTGCATATCTGATATCATCATAATCAAGACATGTGCTGACACCTCAGGTGGATATCTCATATCATCATAATCAAGACATGTGCTGACACCTCAGGTGGATATCTCATATCATCATAATCAAGACATGTGCTGACACCTCAGGTGGATATCTCATATCATCATAATCAAGACATGTGCTGACACCTCAGGTGGATATCTGATATCATCATAATCAAGACATGTGCTGACACCTCAAGTGCATATCTGATATCATCATAATCAAGACATGTGCTGACACCTCAAGTGGATATCTGATATCATCATAATCAAGACATGTGCTGACACCTCAGGTGGATATCTGATATCATCATAATCAAGACATGTGCTGACACCTCAAGTGGATATCTCATATCATCATAATCAAGACATGTGCTGACACCTCAGGTGGATATCTGATATCATCATAATCAAGACATGTGCTGACACCTCAAGTGGATATCTGATATCATCATAATCAAGACATGTGCTGACACCTCAAGTGGATATCTGATATCATCATAATCAAGACATGTGCTGACACCTCAGGTGGATATCTGATATCGTCATAATCAAGACATGTGCTGACACCTCAAGTGGATATCTGATATCATCATAATCAAGACATGTGCTGACACCTCAGGTGGATATCTGATATCATCATAATCAAGACATGTGCTGACACCTCAAGTGGATATCTGATATCATCATAATCAAGACATGTGCTGACACCTCAAGTGGATATCTGATATCATCATAATCAAGACATGTGCTGACACCTCAAGTGGATATCTGATATCATCATAATCAAGACATGTGCTGACACCTCAGGTGGATATCTGATATCATCATAATCAAGACATGTGCTGACACCTCAGGTGGATATCTCATATCATCATAATCAAGACATGTGCTGACACCTCAGGTGGATATCTGATATCATCATAATCAAGACATGTGCTGACACCTCAGGTGGATATCTGATATCATCATAATCAAGACATGTGCTGACACCTCAGGTGGATATCTCATATCATCATAATCAAGACATGTGCTGACACCTCAGGTGGATATCTCATATCATCATAATCAAGACATGTGCTGACACCTCAAGTGGATATCTGACATCATCATAATCAAGACATGTGCTGACACCTCAGGTGGATATCTCATATCATCATAATCAAGACATGTGCCGACACCTCAGGTGGATATCTCATATCATCATAATCAAGACATGTGCTGACACCTCAGGTGGATATCTGATATCATCATAATCAAGACATGTGCTGACACCTCAAGTGGATATCTGATATCATCATAATCAAGACATGTGCTGACACCTCAGGTGGATATCTGATATCATCATAATCAAGACATGTGCTGACACCTCAAGTGGATATCTGATATCATCATAATCAAGACTTGTGCTGACACCTCAAGTGGATATCTGATATCATCATAATCAAGACATGTGCTGACACCTCAGGTGGATATCTGATATCATCATAATCAAGACATGTGCTGACACCTCAAGTGGATATCTCATATCATCATAATCAAGACATGTGCTGACACCTCAGGTGGATATCTCATATCATCATAATCAAGACATGTGCTGACACCTCAAGTGGATATCTCATATCATCATAATCAAGACATGTGCTGACACCTCAAGTGGATATCTGATATCATCATAATCAAGACATGTGCTGACACCTCAAGTGGATATCTGATATCATCATAATCAAGACATTTGCTGACACCTCAAGTGGATATCTGATATAATCATAATCAAGACATGTGCTGACACCTCAGGTGAATATCTCATATCATCATAATCAAGACATGTGCTGACACCTCAGGTGGATATCTGATATCATCATAATCAAGACATGTGCTGACACCTCAAGTGGATATCTGATATCATCATAATCAAGACATGTGCTGACACCTCAAGTGGATATCTGATATCATCATAATCAAGACATGTGCTGACCCCTTAGGTGGATATCTGATATCATCATAATCAAGACATGTGCTGACACCTCAAGTGGATATCTGATATCATCATTATCAAGACATGTGCTGACCCCTCAGGTGGATATCTGATATCATCATAATCAAGACATGTGCTGACACCTCAAGTGGATATCTGATATCATCATTATCAAGACATGTGCTGACACCTCAAGTGAATATCTGATATCATCATAATCAAGACATGTGCTGACACCTCAAGTGGATATCTGATATCATCATAATCAAGATATGTGCTGACACCTCAAGTGGATATCTGATATCATCATAATCAAGACATGTGCTGACACCTCAAGTGGATATCTGATATCATCATAATCAAGACATGTGCTGACACCTCAGGTTGATATCTCATATCATCATAATCAAGACATGTGCTGACACCTCAGGTGGATATCTGACATCATCATAAGCAAGACATGTGCTGACACCTCAAGTGGATATCTGATATCATCATAATCAAGACATGTGCTGACACCTCAAGTGGATATATGATATCATCATAATCAAGACATGTGCTGACACCTCAGGTGGATATCTGATACCATCATAATCAAGACATGTGCTGACACCTCAGGTTGATATCTCATATCATCATAATCAAGACATGTGCTGACACCTCAGGTGGATATCTGACATCATCATAATCAAGACATGTGCTGACACCTCAAGTGGATATCTGATATCATCATAATCAAGACATGTGCTGACACCTCAAGTGGATATATGATATCATCATAATCAAGACATGTGCTGACACCTCAGGTGGATATCTGATACCATCATAATCAAGACATGTGCTGACACCTCAAGTGGATATCTGATATCATCATAATCAAGACATGTGCTGACACCTCAAGTGGATATCTAATATCATCATAGAGAGAGTTGGTTCTTGGCTACACAATACAATCCAAATCACACAGGTCAAAAGCTGCTTGTGATTGACACCACATACGATGGCATCAACCAAGTCAGCGAGCCAGACCACAGGCTCCAATTATGGCAGGAATGCGGATTTAGACAACAACACTTGATTTTGTATTCAAATTGTGTGACTGGCGGAAGCTAGCGTAAGAACAGGACATTTTTTGGTGAAAGCTGAGATTTCCAGTTGTCCGTTTATATAATTTTCGTCACAATTTTGCCGTCTTCTGGTGTTGATGTTTTGAAAGGACTGTTCTGAACGACAACAAATACACGCTAAACGTATTCCCAACACCGATTGAAAGCCAAAGTACAATTGATGAGCAGTACCGTGTCCAAATGTAATCACTTGTGAATGATCTACGCCATCAGCAGTGGTCGGTCATAAGCAGTAAGACGGTCTGTATTAATGTCGGTACGTGTAATTGCCCCGAATTATAACAACGATATATTACCTGCCAGGCAAAATAATTTATACACTTGAATATTGGATTTTACTGAAGCCTTACAAGCGTTATCAAAACTATGCCAGAAACAGTCTCAAGATCACTTCAAACTTAAGGCCCAAAACACAGCAATGGTACCCGTATCAGTACATCACCAATGAATATATATTTCTTGTTTGTTTCATTATTTTGCCACCACCGAAAATGTGCGTAATCTTTATTTTGCCTGGCACGTAATTTACATGAATATACATCGCATGTAATTAATCATACAATCGACATCTTGAACGTAAACAAATCTTTCTGATGATAAATAATTATAATGTGAACATTATATGCGTTAGTTATTCCCAATTTTTCGAATATGCGAGTGTATTTAATAGACGTACACTTTGCATGAGTGCCTAAAATACGTAATGTATCGCCTTTAGTTTGGTGAATATATTTACATGCATACTTACTGTTTGTTTCTTCCTCTTTGGCTTCTGATACACTTGAAGCCATGACCAGCCAGCACAAGGCGTACATCACTGGCAGACATGCCATGTTGCAATGATCGAGTACCGACACAAGCAATACATATTATATCTCTGTGTGTGGTATAGTACTTCCTCCTTGTGCAAGTGCCCAATAGCCTCCCTTACTGGTACTTGAATAACAATGCTTCATAATAGGCGTAAAATAAACAGTTCATTTAGCTATTGTTCTTGTCAGGGTAGAATAGAGAATATTTAATAGAAAGTAATTCAAAGCAGAGTATTGAATAAGGAAGAAACTATCGCTTAGTATAATATTTCAAAACATTCGTCTGTGGTTAATTATTTATTTTGACTTTTGAAAAGTCTTTTATAAACGATCTCCGCGTAGTTAAATATTGCTCTTACGATCTTGGGAAAATATGCGAGTGTATTCTATGGACTTGAACATTACATGAATGTCTCAAATTAGTAGAGTTTCGCCTTTAGTTTGGTTATGAATACATTTACTTCCTTTCAATAATATACAAGACCTAATAACGTTCATGTCATCAAACTCTCGAACAAACATAAACGAATGCACTGTTGTGTTTTCAATTGCTAACTGCAAAATATACATATATGGACATTACTTATTACTACACCTACATGATCATAAAGGATTATCAGCTGGTTGCAATTATTTATGCTCTCATGTGCTGTTAAATATTTCGGTTCTCAGATCTTATATCTTCACGCAGCTCACCGGTCTGAATAATATTAAATGCAATGTGTTCTATTCAGAAATGTGAACATGTCTAAAATAGTTTCATGTGGGGATGAGAGAGGTGAGTTTATTTAGGATGGAAAGCCCAAAGTGATACATGACGAAGAAGAGATTAAGATGTCAGACCAAGAATCATAATTGGCGCAAATATGGTATTCGAACCCACTACAATATTACACCGTTAGGGTGTTGGCTGAGTGATGGACTCAAGTTATGCGTAGCATTGGTCATGGGTTTGAATTTGGCCGTCCACAAACGACCGAGTGTCAGAATACTTTTCTACGAATGGCAGTACCTGGCTCTGGGATGATACTAGTATTTGTTGGCAACAACCTTGAGCCCCTCTCATCCAGAGAATGCACAGGTGATGGTCAGAATATGCATACTCCATGTCACATCATTCATCCATTTCGATCGATTGTCCATTATGATTTAGTTTATGTGATCCATTTTGTTTTTTCTGTTCCTATAATTCCGCCCTCAATGTCAACAAGATGTTTGACGGAAACGATACAGGTGTCAATCTCACATTAACAAAAGTAAAAGGAAATCGAAATAGGAACGCTCAATCAACTTTTGTTACCAAATATTGGAAACCGTATCTGAATCTCCCCAACACGTTCTGGTGTCACATCGGTGGGACCAACTGTCAACTATTTTGGGCCCATCGGTTTCAAAGGAGGCGTTTATTTTGAAAAGAATTTCAATATTTCATTTTTGACACAAGGCTGGGTTACCGTCATTTTCATAAATCCTCAAGATGTCTATGTAAGGAATATTAGGGTACCCAAAACATCCACCCAAATCCACGTCATTACCGAAACAATTTTCTCAGGATTCAGATACTAATTTTTTTGTCAGTTGACAACCAAACTAACCAGAGGATGCGTTGGTTTATTGTCTATGAACATTTAGACGATGTCTTGAAATGAATTATAAATGTAAAGAGTAGTTTTCATTAAAAAAAAGAAGAAACAAACTGTGTTCCTGGTTTGCACTCCACTTGCGCTATCACAAACACATGACAGGAATAACAAGAGCAATATGTCATGAAAGATATCAGGCCTTTGGATGCCTACGACATGTATCTGATACGCTGTATGTTGCTAACTATGATGCTTTCGTCCTGCTTGTTCAAATGTTAAATACAACTATTTCAAAGCAGCTTATCTATGTGGTAATTCTCGTTATCTTAGAGGCACAAGACCATATATTAGTTACAGTTTCAGACATATTACTGCAATATGTAGTTTTTTGTTGATGAAGGTATCAACGAAAAAGAGGTGTGTACATTTGCATAAGTCGGAAGGAGTACTGACTTCATAGACTTTCAATTCGACACAGATGAACACCTTTGAATGTTGCTTGTTGTTATCCTGTCGATATTTCAGATTCGTCTCGCTTCTGGTGTAGGTCTCGTACAAGGAACGCATATAACATTTCCGTCTTGTCATATCATTGACATCTGCAGTCTATATTTGACTTTCATAAGTTACACACAATGAGCTACGCGTATACTGCCCTGAGTACTTCCTGATTCTCAATAACTACACTTGTGATCTCATTGTGTATCATCGTGATGGCAATATCACAGGCCCCTTCAGTGTTGCATTGCTCTGGTGTACAACTGACTTTAAGTACAGCAGCCAAATACACATTAAACAGATCATACATCAAACATAGTATACAGTGAAAGTCCTTTATTCTGACTCATGCTTTCCGGTAACCCACTTTCTGAATTTTTACATTTTGTACATATAGTTACTTAGGTTTGTTGTTTATAGCCGCACTATTCCAGCTATATGACGGCGGTCTGTAAATAATCAAATCTGGACCAGACAATCCAGTGATTGATATCATGAGCATCAATCCACACAATTGGGATGGATAACATGCATTGACCAAGTCGGCGAGCCTGACCACCTGATCCCGTTAGTCGCCTTTTACGGCAAGCATGGTCTTCACGGGTCTTGTACACATAGACGTATTCATGCTTCTCGGTGTCCATTGCTGAGTGCGGCGTAAAACAACAAACCAACCAACCATGTTCATCATACGCTAATCCGGCCTCGTCTGAATTAAAGAGACTTCACTGTATGTTGGATGTGCGTTTGTTGTTTAACGCCGCACTCAGCAATATTACAGCTATATGACGGCGGTCTGTAAATAATCGAGTCTGAACCAGACAATCCAGTGATTGATATCATGAGCATCAATCCACACAATTGGGATCGATGACATGCATCAACCAAGTCCGCGAGCCTGACCACCCGATCCCGTTAGTCGCCTTTTTACGACAAGCATAGTCACCTTTTACGGCAAGCATGGGTTGCTGAAGACCTATTCTACCCCGTAATCATCACGGGTAACTAATGGGTGACTGCAACAATCCATTTGGTTGTCTCTTACAACCAGCACTGCGACTCAATTCTTACCCGGACAACCCATCTGGATCACTGCTTGCTTGTGCTAGAGAGTATTATTAAATTAAAAGAAATTAGCTATGTTCCAGCAACAGCAGGGTGGGGGAACCAGAAAGGGGATTAACACACGAACCCGGGTCTTCGGCGTGACGACTGAAGACTTTGACTACCAGACTACCCCACGGCCCATATTGAACAGAATTGTCAAGTACGGGACATTGGACTTGTTATATCATTCTAAATATAAAGATCGAACATCGACGCAAGAGAATAACCATTCACGATCACAAATACATTCTTTTGGCGTAAAAGGCAAAAACTTATTAAGATGGCAATTATAGAAATGCATCACTGAAAACCTGTGATCACAGCAAATGTGCAACAGGGTACGCATACCTGGCCCTACCTGTTGCCACCGCCACTCACACAATTTGCATTAAAATGCTTTTTTGTTGTTCTTGATGTTGCCCGACGTATCAGACTATCAAGTGAGGACCAGAATATCCAGTAGCACGATCCAGTCCTCTGAAAACAAGCAATATGGTTATTGTGCTCACAAAGCAAGAACTTGTACGAATCAGGGATTCGAATTCAAGACAATACCATTACAGAGACGACGTGTTTCTGGTTTAAGAATATCAGATGGGGACATGCAGGCAGTACAGTATAATTTGACGCTCAAATATTTACAATTCAGTGTGTGGCAATGACAACTTTGGAACATGAAACGTTAATGAATGTCAACGTTAAATTGTAGACTAGGTTTGTATATTTTTGTAACAGATGGAAATGATGGAATGGAATATAAGTCAAACCTACCATCAAGTTTGTTTGTGTGTTGTTTAACGCCACACTAAGCAATATTCCAGCTGCATGACGGCAGTCTGTAAATAATCAAGTCTGAACCAGACTATCCAGTGATTGATGTCATGAGCATCGATCCACGCAATTGGGATCAATGACATGCATCAACCAACTCGGCAAGCCTGACCATGTGACCACCCGATCCCGTAAGTTGCCTCTAACGACAAGCATAGTCGCCTTTTACGCCAAGCAGGGATTGCTGAAGACCTATTCTACCCCGTATCTTCACGGGTCTTCAGCTAAAGAATACCTAGTCACGTCGATGCCTGCAGAAATGTGTTGCCTTGTTATGTATGTGGTTCAAATGCTTGTAGGGATAAGACGGTTCTTGATAGTGTCAACAACTAGTTTTGTATTCTCGAATATAACCGAAACTAACGTTAACAGACAAATGCTCACACATCGTCATTTTGTTACACAATGTTCCTTCATCATCCTTGACTCTGTAATCGTTATTTTAAGCCAACGAAGAAAGCCACGGCCAAGCTTCAGAAAGGGGGAAGCCATCGAGTGCTGGAACCAAATAGCGCCCTTAGCTGCAATATTCCTCTCGTTCCTCTACTATACACATTGTTTCAGACATTGGTCGTGTTCGCACAAAGTTCATATATACGGAGCTGGTTATTTGTCATTAGTGAGTTATTCAAGGCCTCATGCCATTATCTGCTTGGAAACGAGTCACTACTACACCATGTGATGGAGGAATATACTACATGCATTCGATTTCCGAACATGGGTACAATGTATGAAGCCCATTTCTGGTGTTTCCCGCCGTGGTATTGCTAAGATCTTGCTAAAAGCGGCGTAAAACAATACTCACTCACTCTCTACTAAGGTTGGAACCAAAAAGAAGTATTAACTGTGTGTATATGTGTTGATTTTTAAAAATCTAAATACAATGTTCTTTTTAGGTACATATGAAAGTCTTTATCTGAATGAAACAGTATTGACGTCGTAACTGGGTAATCACACTTTTTTTTTTATTCTGCAAATAATAAATGTTAATGAATTCCTGCACGTGCAAAAAGCTACAGAAAACAGAAACATCATTGTTTTTCCCAAACATGTCAGGTGAGGTGAAATGGGTTTAAACGTCGAGTTCAAGATTATAGCACTCATACAGCGACGTGCATGCACTTGTATGTGACTTCTTCTACAAGTTCTTCGAGCAGATGATCTGTCCATTTTATCACGGAGGTGGTAATTCCTATATAATACCACCGAGAGACAACATGTCAATAGTTCTACGGTTCAAGGAAGCTTAATTTTCTTATGAGTGTCTACTTTCTCACATTGCATTTACAGAGGTCATTTCATTTCGAAACGGAAACTATTCAGCACCCTACAAACTGCTCTTCTGTGGCTTTAACGTTGTGTGCTGTGTCACGCCGACCTGTAAAGCAGGAACATCACATGAGATGAAGGGATGTAATGTTGACGACTGTGATCCTTTAGGTTTCTATGTTACAGTGACACAACCGGCTTTAAAAATATATTTAAGTTGTGATGTGTCATTTTGCAGTGAGAAAAATAACATGAAGTGAAACAGGTCTCAGAGGTTTAACAGGATAGGGTGCACTGGAGTCAATAAGTGTCTGTTTGGGGAAAGATACAGTAATTTGAAAACATCTCTTTAATAACGTATCAGCTTTCTGCTGGGAAAAAAGATCAATGTGACGTAGGTCTTAGACGTCACCCACTTTGGTGGAACCCAGGAATACCGATAAGGTGCTGGCAAACCTAGAAACAACCGGGGAGAATCTGAGAACGCCAAAGGGATGCCACTTTGCACAGCATATTACGGCGCTTTATG